TAATCTTCTTGGCTGCGGGGCAATGGCCGCGGCCAATGAGATTGAGTTTCTTAGTTGTATTATTTCCGCGAGTTCGTATACTAAAAAGATAATAAACTTTGGAGTATAAATAACGCCAGTGATGCGCATTATTAAAAGGTTATTCCAACCGCCGTCCAGGTCTCCTGAGAAGTAGCCCAAGACCTGGTGATTTTGAACATCACCCGTTGTATCCCACGCGATCAAGATCATCAGCTGCCTGGTGATACGAGTTACAGGACGCATGCACGAGGAAAAAGCGCGATATGATGAACCATTCATTTTGGGTTTATGACAAAAATGCTATACACACGATTTATTTAGCGGGCCCAGATGAACGGAAGTCCGAAACCCCTAGATAGCAAACGGGCAGTTGATTATATTTCATATCGCCATAATTAACAGGACCTTTCGGTTGCATTTATTTCAATACGTACGAAACATGCTCGATGGGGTTCAGCGCGAGCCTGTGTAATCACGTGACTCAGTGTCGATGACGGGTTGGTTCAGCCAGAGTTGACGGTCGGGCTGGTTGGTATAGGAAGCGCGCGAGAAGACAGTGGCGCCACGGTGCGGCTCTTAGCGGAAACATCTCCCCTTGACCACGGCCGGCCTGTTTTAGACATTTTATGTCGCAGCTAAGCTTAGTTTGCAATCAATATCTGCTTACCTGTGCACAGTGCTATACAAAATCTTCGGGTTCACAGTCGTAACTAACCTTTTTTCAGCAACGACCTGGAAATTAATAACACAAATCCCCTCCATGCGCTGCGAAAACCGTCCCGATCATCTCTATCCCAGTACGTCTACTCTTTTCGCTAGCCAGTGATAATAAGATTAGCGAAAAATCCTTCTCGTGCAGATTTTATCAATCACTATATAGCCCTGGTGAATGTCTTCGACACCAGCGCTTAGTTGGGGCATATTTCAGCGAAGGTAAACGGACAACGTGGCGGAATGTAGCCTTCGTGGCCGGTTACAACTGCGCTGGTCATTATCGAACTGGAGCTCGAAGCAACCCCTATGGGTCGAATGATGGGAAAGCACGTGCAGAGAACGCTAGACGTGGGTAGGTTTTCGATTGTCAAGGCGGAAAACCTTTACTTCAGAGCGAGATCCACTGCAGAAACTCGGTTGCAGGAAGCCGCAGACGGGACTGAGACGCTGCGAGTGCAGTAGAAGAGGTCGGAGCGGGCAGAATTTCACTACGCGACTTAACACGGACGCTATAGTTGGTGTTGCTGTCAAGCAGCTAGCTGCCAAGGCGGATTGACGCACCATACAACCCTCAGGTGTAGTACGCTCCCGATATTAAATTGGTGTTCGTCTTCTCTTCTTCATCTCATTTGCGCGGTTTCTTTGAGTCCAACCTCAGGGGTTCCAAGTTTTGCATCTCTCGTAAAAAGCTCTTTTCGCTCTCTACCATAAGCAGGGACCGAACGAAGTGCAACCATACTAAATAATGCTGCATGTCTTTAGGCATATTTTATGTGTCAATCCATCTCGCCAATGTGCACTTTCTTATTTGCACCACTCAAGTATTCAATATAACTAATGCAATGAAAGCGGAATTATATCGAGGCCACAGTTAGGGGGGAGGTTACACACATTCCGGTAGGTAGGGAACACATATATTAGTTAGAACATACACCTGAACTGAAGCATGGGTGATTCATTGTAATCGATCAAAGGACGACGTCACTAAGTCACCCCCAAACGGCAAGTTTATTTCCTTCAAATCGGTTATCTAGAATTCGCTTTTACTGATTTGTTTCTCTTTTACCCTTTCAATGCTTCCAAAATATCGGCACAATATGAGATTAAATGTCATTCGCAGCGACAAACCTCGGCGCTGTTTCGTTTTCTTCATTTCAGTGTTGGAACATTGTCAAGTTCGCTTAACAAAGTGGTTCAGGTAACACGGGAAGCACTTCTAAACACCTCGGCTTGCTCAAACCATTTGCCAACCGACTCGGTTACCCCAGCTTCTCGGAATCCCCTGTGCTGTTATCCAACTTAACCACCCGAGAAACGCGACACTCGCGCGCGCCGCTGTTATCCAAAAGAAAGAAGAAAGAAGAAAGAGGAAAGTTTGTTTAAACTTTTTTTTGCGTCATAGCGTGGCGAGTTTTCAAAAGTTCAAGCAAAACTATAATCAGCGGAAAGACGATCGACCACGTAAGTTCGGCGGGCGATAACGACGCGTCGTGGGACCACTGCCATGTCTTTTCTGCCAGAGGATAGATTTCTCCATTAGACCCTTTCTACACGACGTTTCACTTTACGATGTACCGCAGCCGACCCCACGAGTCATCCCAGCCAACCCAGCCCCGTGAAAGGGCCCTGTGACAGTGTGTCAACGCGCCCCCCATGGTGGTAGCGTGTCACTGACACGGCATAGGATTGGTTTGGAGGGTTCGTAGTGTCCTCTACGATGCATCGCAATGGGAAACGAAGTCTATAATGCGCGCCGCGAGGATTGCGTGTCCGTCTGATCACTTTCGGAGAGATATATGCACGCCGCAATCAGCGATTGGCATCTCCGCGCCACCGTCATCGGTATTCAAGGCGAACGCGCTTCCAACTCGGCCATATAGCTTTGCTCCCTCACACTAGAGTCGGTGAATCATCGAGACCGCAATAAATTTTGTTGTAAACCTGATCTCCGAGTGAGGCAGCCGCCGACTACGTCGCGCACTACACTATCGCCGTGCCTTTTGGTGGCGCAGCACCGTCGCCCAAGCGTGCGTATGTGGAGACAAGATGATGCCAGGCATCACGGTGCTGGGATGTTCGGATGATAGATGTTCATATATGGTGTATCTTGTTGTGACGTGAAGAAGGAACCCTTCTCGAGTAGAGCGGAATTATTATTTTTTTTTTCGAAATGTCGTACATCAAATTTACAACGGAGTGGTTCGATTTGAGCAGTCTTGTTTTCGCTTGCCGAGTTGGTTATACGCGACGAAAACGTAGACCCTAAACTAGCGTCTTCCGTGGTGTGGTTAGGCAAAGTGACGACGAGCATAATGAAGACAATAAATTGAAAACTATCAGGTATATTCAATCAGATGTCTTTCACTATTTACAAAAAGGGTCCTGTTGATAAACTTCGAAATGCCTTTTTAGGTGCTTCACTTGGTGAACCGACATTCTTACACATTTACAGGCTCTCAAGGAGACTTCCGCTGAAGGCATTAAAGCACAGATACCGTGTTTGGAAGGTTGTGCGGCACCTGAAAGTCATACTCCTCGCCTCAATGATGATCATCCGCCCAGCAAGGGGCACCAACTTGTTTTGCTTCAATCCGTCTGACATCTGGCTCTACAGTTTTAATTGCTAACTATACTGAGAGATTGCCCACCCCCGCTTAAAAAGAACAAAACAAAAAATTTAAAAAATAACATATTTCAGTAATATGTTCTGTGCGCTTTAAGTTCAATCAAAGTGGAATATAAATCCGTCTAAGCCGTAAAAAGAACCAGCGCAGCATACCTCCAATACGCTGCAGGCACACATCAGGCAAATATGCTAGCGCCTTTTCAAGTACCGCTCGCGCCGTTTTGGGGGATGGAACGTACGCACCGCGTAGACCACACTGAAACGAAGCTTCGGAGGAGAGCGTCATAATACCCCACTAATGCTCGCCAGGCTGTTTGGGACACCCATACTGTAACCTACACAAAACGACTCCAAAAAGAGGTGTAAGCAAATCTAGCGAAACATGTCAATTTGTTTCAGCTCGTCCTCTACAATCGATTAAAGTGTAAAACACGTCTCCGATTCCACACAGAGCAACCGATCAGCAGACGAGCCACGTGCTTAAACCGAAGCCAACCACCAACGAGCATCTAAAATTCATCCTGGCGATGTACGACCCCACATCACTGCAGACACAACAGCCCCGCACAGAAAACAACCCTGACAAACGCGGCAGTAACTGCCACGGGGTATGCCCACGAAGAAAAAGCCCCAAAACGGCGACCGCGCGGTAGGTAGGGGCTGACGTTTGAAATGGCCGCTCATGCCAATGGCCAATGGTCACATAAACCGTTAGCAAATTTGCAAACGATCCCATAAGCCGACCGGGAGATCTGAAAACGCCACAAGTTTACGGGAGTCCGTCGTTGCAGGGGGACAGGGCGGCCGGGCAGTTACCAACCGAGGAGCCAGGCGGGGGCCACAATGGCCCCTCGCCCTCCCGGCCTCCGGTGCCTCCCCCCCGATTTCTCTCGAGAGTCCCCTCCACGTGCGTCGGTGGGGCCCCCTCCTCGCCAACCCCCAGAGCCTTCATGGCCCCCCGAGCGCGCTGGAGGTCTTTCGACGGCCGCTTCCTTTCACAGTTGCTGGCGTGGGCCATTCAGTCTGTGTACTGCGCGACCGTCTGACCCTAAGCGACACATAATGAAGATGAGCTCCTCTTTGAACCGACTCAATAAAGGTGACCGACGTTGACTTTGTGGTTCGCTTTGAAGTTACACGAGTTACACGGCGACGGTGTGGCGTCGAGATTAAAGAGGAACGTGAGGATTTCTGTTTTATTTACGTTTCTGTACTCTGCGCCTGCATGGATATGATGTCGGACCGCCAGACGCTCGTTTCTAAAGAATGGACCCGAGACGGTACTGCACCTTCAAACCAACACGTCCGCGATTGCCTAATCGTTCCGAGAACAAGTATGACCTAATCCTTCATTGCTGCATTGTTAGAAGCTGTTATGTGCCGAGCGGAATATCGTTTAACCGGGTGTCTTATGATCGCGAGTGCGATTGATGACCTTTAGAGAGTTCGGATAATAGGAGTTTCTCGTCTGCCTCGCCGTAAATAGAGGACTTTACCAGGTAATGTACGGAGGATCCGACGGCGCCCCGAGATCCCTGGCACGGCTCATTCACGAGGGGGTCTTGGCTGTTTTAGGCAAAGGAAATTGCTTGCGCTCGAAAGAAGTGCGCGAGAGTGATCGGGAGGTAGGTGGACCAACCTGCGATGGCCATCCAGGGGTAGAAGGCGTTGGTGGGCGCCTGCGCGACTGCGGCCGCGGCGGCGGTGGTACTCTGGCAGCAGGACGTCCAGGCGTCCGACACCCGAGGCGTGCTGGCCGCGGCGTCGAAGGACCGCATCTGGTCGGCTGCCGAGCGCACGCTCGACAGCGAGGTGGAGGGCCAGGCCGCGGCCATGTCCTTGACGGCACCGCCGAACCCATTCTGGTCCTTGACCAGGCACTCCGTCTTGAAGGCGCCGCTTGCGTCGCTCACGCTCGGGTACAGCTTGCAGGCAGCGGCTGCGGCTGTCGTCGCGTCGTAGGCCGTTGGGGCCCCGGCGGCGGCCGTGTCGTGCGAAGACGCGACTCTGGCGGCGGCGGCTGCGGCGGCCGCTGCGGCCGCGGCGGCCGTGGACTGCGGGTACGGCGGCACGAGCAGGCCCTGGGGGAACCGGTAGGCCTGTTCCGCCGCGCTGCCCGCCTGGCTGTTGTAGAAGCCGCTCTGCTCGAAGTACGAGTTCATCATCTGGCACCCGATGACACCCTCGCTGCTCCTTCCCACATGGGATTTGTTGGCCGTTTCTTGTCTTTTTTTACGCGGCCGGGCAAGGTGTTGGATTAAAATCGCCCATGGCCGGCGCTCGCCGAGACTCCAGCTTGGTGCCGGAAGGTTGGCGGCACCGCACGGCCAATCAGAGGGGGACTCTCGCCCCTCCCGCGGGCCTCCTCGCCCTCGCAGAGCGAGCGCGGCGCCTCGCGCGGGATTCGGCCGAACTCGGCACCTGACTGACAACGGTCCCTTGGCGGCCGCTTCCCCGCAGGGTGTCGGCCGACTTGGTGCCGGCGTTGCGCGCGTTGCGTGAGGCGGCGGTGCGCGGGACGTGTTGTTGGCGCGACTTGGCAGCACTGGAGCCGACTCGAGAGACTGGCGCTGCTTGGAGAGCTGGCAAACGGCGGCGCGCCCCTTTGCTCTCCGTTTCTGGGCGAGCGCGTCATTGCACACGTAGCGACGGGAAACACTTCCAGCCTTTCTTTCAGCTGTTGTGATGCTTGGCAATGAATTTCACCCTGAGCCTTCGGATGGAGAGAGAACAAAAAAAAAAACTCGGCGTGAATTTATTCTTGAGGTGTATCTCCCAAGCCGACCTTTTTCAACAAGCAATAAAATGAAATAAACAGTCGATAATGGCAAAAATAAAAACTGTATCCCGCTTGTTCGCTTTATTTGTGTCAGAAAAGTTCTGAAATAAGCGCTTTAATCTGTGTGTTAGTTGTGTGGGCACTGGACCAATTTGAGTAGCGATTTTTAGTACCATCCCATTTGAGCTGAAATACGAGCAACGTTAACAGCAGTAACATTAGTTGGATTCTTTAGTTCAAGAATATAATCACATAAAGGACTCCTCGTTGCTCGAAAACAAAGAACAAGAATTCAGAGGTCTATTTGTATTCCAACCCAACATGTGCAAAAAAGAAAAAAAGTAAAGGCTACAGCACTAGGCCTAACAACACAATGATGTACGACAGTGGAACGAAACAAAACTGTCCAAACAGTAATGGAAAGAACTTGACCACCACATGCAACCAATCGACTTCACACGTGATCTTCGCGCAGAACAAGCATAGGGTATTATCTCCGAAGGAAGGCGATACCTTATTCAATCACAGAACTATAAAGCTATAGGGTATTTCTTTACGATAACGCAGAGGATAACGCAAATTTTCTGCACTCGAAATGAAACTATGTCAAAATATATTTTGAATGGAGATTACAACTACCAAACGGATCTCAAAATTGGTGGGCGTTCCTGTTGTCATTCAACAAGGATGAGGAGAAAGCTGGGAAACAGGCGGAGTTGCATCATAGAAATATATGAGCCGCTTGAGGCCATGTAATTTTAAAGTAAGTACAAATAATAAAGTTTGAAATATCCCGCCGTAAACATCTTTTTCGATTAGCAAAAACATTTTTTTTTATTATTAGGTGTTGAACACTAGCGTCAAGACAATCTCTAGGAAGTGAAAAGGAAAAAGAAATTAAAAAAAACGAGATAAGAGCGTACAGAGTAAGCGCACAGAGCTGAGCTTGTTCAACTGAGATATGAGCTGCGTTTGAAACCGTGTTTTTTTTTTTTTTTTTTTTTTTCGGAATGTTTATTTTTGATACTTTCACCGCCTTCCCGAAAGTCGTTATGAATCTAGCTCGCCTTCATGTGTTAATTATTGCAGAGAGTATTTTGGGGAGTATAATGAATTGTCACATTTACACTCATAACATGGTCTACTGGTGGACAAACTTCATTCTTGCATAACGAAGTATCCTCGAAGATATACCCGATATGCAGAAAACATCATAAAATATTGTTTGACTTATAATGTTTTAAAGGAATTTTCAAGCAAATACTTTGAAATTATTTTTGCGCTGCGTGAGTACGCAAAATGTCTCCTACTCGAGGTAAACAAGGAAGCTACAGAGAGACCGAAAGTAGCTGGTGGAGTTTGGCTAAAACACCGCTTTTTCGGCATGTCTCTGCTTCTCAGATATTTTTAAGCTTTTATTCTTTGCCTTCTCTGAGCCAAACGTCAACTGCCATTCTGGGGCTCCCAAATATTAGTGTCGAAACTGCTCCTTCTTTATTTATTTTGACTGTACATTAGAACCTGTCAAACGGTAAGGGGTTAACTTGAAAAGTTTAAAACAAAAAATGAATCAATGCATGCGGCTGCGTAGAACGAGATGCATACTGTGGAAAATTCAAGACTTCATACCCCTTGGTTCATTCGACAATGAAAGTGATCAACTCGAATATATAAAACAAAGTTTTGAAAAAAAAAAGGACAATAAAAACTGCAACTAAAACCTATATTTTTGTTTATCTGAAAGCGAGCGTATACTGACGGGATTTTGTAGGTTCGTACCTCCTTTTGTCTTGTGTTACTTTGTCTGGATGGTAATAAATTGCCCTTTTGAATATTATTTCCACAGCTCTCCTACCTCACTATGGTGAAGGGCATTGTGCCAAACGTGTTTAATGTTTAATTATTTGTTAATGAAATGCAAGCCCTGCCTAATCTACCAGAAATTTACGTTTCACCCTCAATTTTTAGGTTCAAATAACCATTTCAGCGCTATCAATTGCAAAGAGCGCCCCATATCGCTACCTTCCTTGGGTTACATCGACCCATTTTCAGGAGAACAAATTATTATCACGTATCTTATAAGGAGTTATTGTTGGAGGAAACTCCAACTAAGAAGACACCCAGCCGTTGCTTATTTCTATATCATATACAATTTTCTCAAGTAAGCAATGTTTTCTTATAAAATGTTTAGCATATGCGAAACCTTCGCATCGTGATTGCAGACGTTTTCAAGACTTCCAAAAAAATGCGGCTCACTAAACTTAAAAAGAAAAAGTTCGTGGCCGGAATAGCCAGTAGACATGTTGATTGGGATTAGAGTAGACATATTCATGCTCCTTCCCTTTGTGCAGTTGATAAAGCTAGTTTGATTTCATTTCAGTCATGCGAGTGTCTTGGAGCATGTTTTGTGGCGGTTTTGGCAAGCATTTTCAAGATACTGGATCTCCTTTGGCATTCCTTTCAGATGCTTTGAGAACAAAGCGGATACAGGAGCCCTTTTAGACAGACTGGCTCACAAGAAAACAAAATAAGTTACATAAAAATAGCATCAGCTCCTACTCAAACTGTCAATCCCGAAGAACAATGAGATTGATGATAAAATATGCACATAAGTGCAATGTTTACTAAAAATAATAACCATTGGCTAAAATAAAAGCTCTATTTAAAAAGAAGGCAAGGTTCATTTATGATTTGTCTGATAAACATACGAGAATTTATGTCAATTATATAAAGCACATATAAGGCCTAATATATGTTCTTATGAAATCGTATACGTTCCCATGTTTGCTCGACATGTTCATATATATTATTTTTTCACAAGGGTATGAATAAAATTTTTGTAATGTTTTTATTTGATAAAGTATTATAAGCAATTACCGCCGACCCCCCCCCCCCCCCAATCTACAGAATCTCATTAATGTTTAGATGGATATTTTGGGTTTTATTTTTTATTTTTCCCTTGTTTCCTAGGGAGAATCAAATATCTTGAGCCGGAAGGCTTCATGATTATGTTACTATGAAAATAGAAAATATACGGCGTGTTGAAAGTATGCGAGTTTCTCCGTAAGAACTTCCACCAACTCCCCAAATTCACGTGAAACCCATAATCAACAGTGGGTCAGAAACATATTCTCTATTTCTCATTCACTCCAAGGGCGTGCACTGCCTGATTACAAATAGTGTGTAATTAAAAGTAACCAGATATGTCTTACGAACCAGATCGGACAGATACACGCGAAACTCTTTGCACGTGTGAAGGCCACGAGCATTACAAACTGAAATGCCATGACATTAAGAGAACGAGCATTTTCTTTCTTAAGTATTAATGAAAAAAAAAAAAAAGACTCGTGGATAGAAGTCTCCGATTATGTCCCGAAATGAAGGCACTGACGTTCTCTGCGTCCCCGTTTGCCGCTGCCGAGGAAGGAGAAGGCCGGGCGCCATGGGAAGCCATTTACGAAGTGTCTGCCACCATATTATGCCCCCTGGCCGCTCCTACGCTCAATTTTTTGCTCGCCTTTCGTGTCTTCGAGTCCTATCGCCTTCTTTCTCTTTGCGGCGCGCGATAGGGCCATTAATGCGACACCGGCTCCGATGAGCAATGAAAGTGACTTAAAGTGCCCTGTTTTATGGCCTGCCACATCGGTGGTTATTACAAGCCAGTTCCGGGGCCCTGCCGGGGAGCGTTCGCCACCAGTGTGGCCTCCTCCTACGGGTTGCCTTCAGCGCGCCTCTCGGCTCGCACTCTTCCCTACGAAACACCGCAGCCGACGACGTTTTTACGCGTTTTAAAAAGGGGGCGATGTCTCCACACGGTGCATACGTATTTCGGTAGATATCTAGCGTAAAGTTTTGTAAACTTATCAGGGGTCGCTTTTCCTTTTTTTACGTAGTACTTTGCGATTTTTTCTGTGGTCGCTGATTTGTTTCAAAATTTGCACAACACAACAATAGGCACTGCTGTACCAGTCCTGCAAATACTGTGTGAAAAAAAAAAGTTTTTGAATTTTGAATTTTGTTTTTATCATGTTTCTCAAACCAAGAGCCTTTTACAAGCACCATTGAAGTGTAACGACAGAAATGGTGGAAAGTGGGCAGCAAACCACGTTTAAAACTAATTACAAGATTCTTGATGTTGAGAAAAAAGAGTGCGAAAAAATCGATCGCCATACTCGGTTCGAAGACTAACAGCTCTGCGACCTGAAAGTCCATCATTTCTTACGTCACACCACTGGAGAGCGCTCTGAAATTTTATTCGATTTCTGGCGTTCCTATCGACTAATGCCGAATCTCATTAACTGATGAGATAAGATATTTTCGTGATTCACCACGCCCTGTGTATCTTAGGATCTCAGTGACTCAAAAATGCCAAGTGACATAACTTTG